GAGCCGGGCAACTTGCAGCGAGCGACAGTTAACCTGAGAGATGGGGTGTATCCGCCGGAGGAAGACACCCTGACCCCACTAGAACATGGGCACCTCAGCAGTCCGTCCTCCCTCAGGAACTACGATGGGGATGAGCGTTGGAGGCGCCTCTCCCAAATTCCAAGAGCACGCGTGTGGTATTGGAAGAGACCCCTTGGGAACGAGGGGGAATGCGAGAGGACAGAAGTCGGGCCGCTCCCGCAGACGTTAAGGTTTCACAGGTACGTTACCGCCTTCGAAGCAACGCAAGGACCCGGGTGAAAGAGTCCAAGAGACCTGCAGGGAGCTAAAATCGTCCTGAGCGGTCCGGGGCCGGGCCCATGGTCTCCTTCGAATTCCCGCTAAAGGTAACATCGCGAATCACAGACGTTTCCAGACATTTAACGGAGCTGTCGATTACCTTGGGGGGTTGCGGGGAACGGAGGGTACGCCAGGCATCCGTACAGTTTACATACAGCGTTCGTTTCAGCTCGATATCCCGGTTTTTCAGAACTCCCCTTCCCTGAAACTGGCTACACGGGGCTCGAGCAGAGCTGGTACATCCAGCACACGTCCAGCGATAGCTGGCACACCTGTCGGTCGTACAATGCGTGAGCTCAACAGACACGTAGCAGCAGGTCATGCACAACGTTAGGAGACGATCCTACGGGGCAATCTCAGGTCTGGTACCACAGGTACGCTCCACACTACAGCTGCCCACACCCCAAATCCTAAAGGGTTTTGCAATTCCATTTCCAGACTCTTTCAACTCCAATAATTCTTAACATATACAGATATCCATATACATTTGTTTTTTAATGAAAATGCTCCTTCACATACACAATCATATATTGAATTATCAAGAACAATAATATATTTTTGGAGCAGAATAGCAAACCGATCTGCTCTGCCAGTGCCACCCACAAACTAGACAAGTAACTGAGAAGTTTGACAGTTCCAGACCACTTAGGAAAGAGAAATTCTCTTGGCCTACAGACAGGGGAGCCATGCAGTGAAAGTGCTATGGAGGATACAGTAAATGCAATATACAGAAAAACACAACTTGTTAAAAATGTTTTCTTGTGAAGATTCGGGAGCTGTAAGGAGAATCCTTATCATCAGGAGCTACCTTTACAGTATCAGAAATATCGGATAGCATTAAAGGGGGGTATGACACTGAAAATAGAGCTATGCAAACGCTAAAGATTGATTTTGGCCAAAAGCTGTATTTCTTTCACTATGCCAGGGTGGATACTAAATTTTAAGAGTGCATCTGATTTACAAAAAGCCATCTCTGCCAACCTAACGGAAGACAAAAACTCTCGTTAGCCAAAACATCCGACTCCGTAATGGACTTTGATGTCTAGGCAAACAAAACCCAGGGATGCCGAGATGGAAAGCCCTCCTTGCTGAGGAGAAAAAAACCTCACAAAAATACAAACCAAACCAAGAAAGAATGAAAAGAGAAGGGAACTCCCTTCTGGGAGTTTCATTACAAACACCTGGAAGAGGAAAAAAAAAAGTAGGAGATGGGAGGAGAAGCAGCTCACAGTGAAAATCCATGGGGCAGTAACGTCAGCGGAACAGACTGGGTATTTTAGCTGGTTAGATGACAGAAGATGCCCCCAAATCTGTATTTGGTAATTTTTTAACTCTATCATATCTGCAAGCAAACTGCAAACTCTCCAGAGCTGCTTGGGGTCCCCCCAGCCCCACGGGCCTTTCTCATTGATTGTAGTTGCGGCAGCGTGGCCGATAACCCAGGTGACAGCGCGGACGGGCGCAGCGGCGGTGCAGGCAGCTGGTCAGGGCCCCGAATTGCAGCTTTATTAATCCAGTTCTTCACCTTCGGTTTTTTCCTTCTCAAATCAATGAGCAGAATGGGTTTTACTGGACAAACTCCTCTAACCACTGGAGATCTGGGACCAGACCTGCTAGAAATCACGCTTTCAGAACGTATCGCCTCTGTGCCACTAAGGGGTAAAGAACTGGTTTTAGGGAGGCAGGAGGAGAACTTAAGCTCATCTTTAGCTAAGAACAAGTTTGCGTCCCTCCACGAACTTTCTGTGATTCGCCTCCCATGCCCAACATTAGCCACTGCAAGTATGTTCCTTGATTTTAAAACCTTAAAAGGCCAAAATGAAAAATTTTTGGTGTTTCTACCTTATTTTACTTACAGGCTATTTGCCCATCTCATGAAATTTAAGAGCTGGAGACATCCAGGTCCAGAAAATGGGAGGCGATGGGGTGATGGAACGGTAGAGCTAGAGAGGAGCCTTCAGCAATATTCAAAGTGTCAACAAGTCATCTACTATATTAGTAAAGACATGAATAAACAAAAAAACAAACAAACAAAAAAACCCACAAAAAAAAGATGACAGCTTTGTACGCAGCACTCTTCCGGATGCGATATGCAAAGCGTTCGTGGTAGAAGCCGATGCGAATGCCGTCACCAACAAGCAGATTCCAAGTGTGTGACTACTCACAGGAGTGATTTGCCTGGCTGTACACTTAATTCTTGTTAGTATCGAAAGAGTTAAACTTCTTCCATCAATTGCCTTAACAGATTCAACAATATTTTAATTATTTATTTTTTTTTAGTATCCCCTGCATAAAAGAAAAATACACATTATTTGAACAGCCAAGAAAAAACTGCAATTTATTAAGTTTCAAAGAATCTTCGTACTCTTGAAAGCAACTTTCGGTGCATGTTCTTTAACAATCACATTCTATGAGGAGAATAAACATTAAAAGCCACAATTGTTGTTTTTTTTTAAATCTCAGAGTTACAGACATCTTTAATCCAAAAGGAAAGGCAAAAAAAAAAAAAAAACCCCAAAACAAAAGCCCACCCGCTCACCCACCCCCAACCCTTAAACAGAAATTTTCATTCCCAATTTTAAAATATCAGGAGTTTTTCTACAACTCAATGCTAAACTTCAGCATGGAAAATTGTATGTAAACACGCACATACACACATACATAATTTATATAAGTGTGTGTGTATATATATATATAAAATATATATGTAGGAGGCGTGTAATGGCAATGAGATGCAATTACTCTGAGGAAAGGTTATTCAGCTAAATACACTACTAAAACTTGAGAAAAACAAAAAACAAGTCTTGAACCCAGTTTGTGCATAGTTCATGATCCTCTATAAAACCAGCTT